GTTTACCATTCCTGGGTCCTCAAAGGGCGATGATTTACACTCTCCCAGGCTGTTTACGACTTCCTTTGTGTATCCATGATTACGGAAAATTACTTTATGGCTCTCTATAGAGTGGTAAAGAAGTCGTTTGCGGCGCACCAGAATAGTTGTCAAAAGAGAAGTGCCCAGCGATGGGGACGGTTAGGACGACAGCTTCGCTTTCCGCTACTGCGATCGCTTTGATGTTTCTTCTTGCAGAGGTGGCCGCTCAGAATGATGGTAGGTGTATTTATTTTATTTTATTGCTATCGGATGTTAGATATGAAAATGGGGTAATAAAAAACGTCAGAACTGATACGATTCAGATTCGTGGTAGGTTTTCATAAATATGTGCAAAACTCGGGAGTAGATGTGCATTTCCCAATCCTTCTGACTCTCAAATCTCAGAAAAAAACACTTAACACTGTACTACAACCATGTCGCTTTTGACTATATTGTTACTGGTGCGAACTTCTTCGAAAAGCTTCCCCACCGCAACAGCAAAAGTTACTACATTACTTTTTGTCGTTGTACTTACAAAAAAATAGATGTCTTTCTAGTTGATGCCGACAAACTCTCACAATATATATAACTTGCTAGCCGATTTTTTGTCCTGCCAAGTATCCCATACGGGAAATAGTAAAATGGTAGTAAGTACGCATTTTATTTCGAAGCCGCTTCTTCAAAAAACAAAATAGCGCCAGGGGTATAACAGAAAATTTGATAGAACAACTCTTCAAAGTGAAGTTCAATGACATGGACTACGACATTATGTATATAAAACTATATATATTATTTACAACATGAATATTGTAAGTGTGATACCTATCAATGGATGGAATCCATTTGTTATGACAAGATGTTGTTGACTTCTGTTCTGCTCTCTCCCCGTGGCAGGCCCACGGCCCGGCGAGCTCGGCCCTCCACCCATTGGCCCTCCGCCCGTCCCCGTCGCCACCACGCCGCCGCCCCTGCTGTATGTCCCCACACCTCCCGCCTGCCACCCCAACGACACCTGCAGCGACAGGTGCGGCACCTGGAGCCCCGGGACCATGTGCCAGTGCGACCCCAGGTGCCGGCTCTTCGACGACTGCTGTAAGGATGTAGACACTTTCTGTGGAGGCTCTTTGACCACCGATGGTAAGTTTGACATGACTGTCCATCCTTAGCCTCTACCAGCCTTCAAGAGGCGTTTGGCAAGAGTAGAAATTGGCCAAATAGAGATATAAGATGCCAGGGGAGTTGGTCCGCCAAAGAGTACGTTACTGTTATAATAATTAATAAGTAGAATGGAGTGATAACTATTGTGATGTGTTGTGTTGTGTTGTGTGGTGTGGTAGAGCATAGTTTACCAGAAGTGAAGAATTTATTTTCTTCCAACTTTACAAAACTCAGTACATTGTTTCAACAGGAATACTATACGACTAGGTTTAAATCTAATGTGTGATAATTTAAACCTAGTCGTATAGTATTCCATTTCCTTATATCAAGTTCTGTGCATGTGGTGTGATGCATGTGTAAATATCGCATCGTTTCAAACAATCTGACAAGTTAATTATATTGTCTTATTTATTTCGTGAACCTGCATTGTATTTCAGACCTGGAAACCGCCAGCAGACCCGTCGTCATGGCCGACTCGTGTACTTGGCGCTGTGGACCAGATGTGTTATCTGGAGCGGCGGAGACCTTCTGTGATTGCGCGGAGTCGTGCGTCGGGAACGGCACCTGCTGCTCGGACCACTGCTCGGCCGCGGACGGGGTCCCGTCGGGCGACCCGCCGCGAGCTGTACCCAACGACACGGCCCCGTACGAGTGTCTGTGGAACGGCGGCACGGACAGTTACGTCTGGATGGTCGCCAGCTGTCCTCCGGCCTGGACCGACGGCGTCACGCGCGAGGGCTGCCTGCGCATCGACGTGGACTACACCGACGTCAACGACGTCATCTTCTACAACCCTGTCAGCGACGTCACGTCCGACGTCGCGTACAGGAACGTCTACTGCGCGGCGTGTAATGGCGCACACAACGTCACGTTTTGGACCCTGGGGATCAGCGGTAACCTTGAACTTGTTGGGTCGGAAGAGGCGAGACTGAACGCCACCATCGCTGCCATCCAGTCCGGCCAGGGGCGCGTGTACTTCAGGCCGCTGGTCAAGACTAGAGAGTGCGTGCCCAGAAAAACTAACTACCGGGGGGACCAGGGAGGCCACTGCTTTGCCGAGCTGTGCGCGGGACACGCAGCGTATGTCAGCGGAGATACCGGCATATACAGGTGAGATTTTTCCACAGATTTCAGCATGTGTAGATAACTCTCACTTTTATGGTGTTGTGGATTTTGTATGATGTTTTAGTACGTGCACAAAATGTACAACGTCAACTCTCTTATGATGATTCCTTTGGGTATATCCTGAGACCACCACATTAAAATTAAAGGGCTCTACTACTAGTATATGCTGCAGGAGTAACTCCCGAAATACTGTAAGCACATTTCTAAGTACTAAGCTTAAGTATCTAGGTGTTCAAGACATTCTTATAGGAGATAGTCTCGATAACACCTTTATGCAAATGTGGTGGTCCTATGCTATCCGTCGGGATTATGAGAGTTGGGGTTACATGTAATGATAATTCTCATTCCCGCAGAAACGTGTACTGTGCCCAGTGCGAAGGCGTGCATCCCCAGGAGCTGGAGGTCCTGAGTTGCGGCATGACGTCCTGCAGGTCGTGCGGGGGTGCTTCTCAGCTCCACCTCCTCTCCCTCTCCATCCTCTTCAACTTCAACCCGCTCAACTCCCACTCCGCCAGCAAGTGTCCACCGGGGAGCGCCTACGACCTCCTCAGCCGCCAGTGTCGGGAGATCATGACCAGCCCCACACAAGCGCCACCTGGCGAGATCTGCGTGGAGGGACAGACGCAGGTCCTCTCAGGCGGAGGCATTTCGGTAGTAGGCATAAGCATAGACGAACAACCCTGCCAAGAGTTTAGCAGCTCGAACTCCACGGTAGACAACTGCACGGACTGTGACAAGCCAACGCCGGAGACTTACCCCACTACCGAGGCACATCACACGGAGGACAATGTCAGCGGTATCTTGAACATTGCCCTGACAGCGCTGTCGGCTGTAGGCGGTATAGTGTACCTGGCGCTGTGCGTGGTGACCCGGGAATATCACTCCATCCCGGGGCGCCTGAAGATGCAGCTCGTCATCACGCTTACCGCGGCCCAGTCGGTGTTTCTGGGCAGGGTGGTCGCGCAGGTTTCCACCGCGTTCTGTTACTTTGTTGCCGTTCTTGGCCACTATCTTTTCCTCGCTGCCTTCCTGACCATGAGCGCTCTGGCTTTTGACCTCCACAGCACCTTCTCTCGCGGCATTTCCGAGGGCAGGTTCAACTCCTACCGCCTGTACATCCTGTATACCTGGCTGCTGCCGGCTGTTCTTGTTGGGGTGACTGCCTTCGTGGACTTCTGCCCGTGTATCACCACCGTCACTGTGGGTTACGGCGGGCAGGCGTGCTGGATAGGCGAGCCGTACGCTCTCCTGGCGGTCTTCGGCGGCCCCGTCGCGCTGGTCCTGGTCACCAACGCAATCTTCATGGTCCTCACCGTAGTGTCTCTTCAGAAGGCCACCAAAGCGGTGTCCAAGATCCGGCGTGACAAGAGCCGCAGCCTCCTGTGGGTGTACGTCCGCATAACCGTCCTGTTGGGGTTCACTTGGGGGTTGGGATTTGCGGTGTCCTTCGTGCGAAGCCTGGCGCTAGATTATATCTTCACGGTGCTGAGCGCGACGCAGGCTTTCCTCGTGGCTCTGGCCTTTGTGCTGAATCGTTCGATGCTTCGCCGCTGCGAGGCCGCCTTCCGCAGGAACACGTCCTCTAAGAAGAATACCCACGCCACCCACCTGGGGGACGGGTCCCGGCTGTCCAGGCGCGAGTCTCCGTGGCGTGTCGCCTCGGGTAGCGCCAACTCCGGCTTCACCACAAGCTCCACCTCCGACTGCCAGCCCCACCCATGGCCCATGTCTAGTGACTCCGACCAAACAAGTTTCGTCGGCGCGTCCGAAATGGCCGTGTTCAAATCTCACGAGAAAAACTTCATGTGATTGATCGGTGATTTTTCACATCAACCCATCTTTTCCCATCCGGATATTGGCCCTCATTGGACACAACAGTCACCACCTACTAACTAACATGATACTAACAAACTCTATCTCAAGAGTGTTGAAGGTTACAGTAACACGAGTTACACTATCCCTTCTCCACCCGCTTAATTATATCCATGACAAAATGTAGCAGGAAAATTTTACTGCTATGAGCGGCTTGGATATCGATCTGAAGACCGCCAATCAAATACTAGGCAAATATGTACATGTATCATATCCAATCTCTGCTACCGACGGTGGACGTTATTTCATTGAAATTAATCCACAAAGTCTTACTGTATCGAGGTCAGCTACATGTTATTGTGTTGATGTTCCGTGAGTTAAGTTTAATATGCAAGGCTGTTCAGTGTTTTGGCGACGCCTGTGCTTAGGGGTTGAGGCTTTTTGTCACAGCGGAATACCAAGACGCTCCTATTGTCCTAGGCCCATGTGCAGTGACGTATGTGGATCTCAAGAGACAAAATGTGACAAACTAAATAATTGTTGGCCATACTATTGTCTATCTATCACTTTCGCCTTGGGAACCAGGATCTACATTATTGTGGGTTGGTATATCGTGGTGTAATGAACCATTCCTTTTCACTTGTCATTATTGAAAACCAAAACAGACTGGACATCCATCAATAATTGTCATCAAATAGCCAGAAGTGTTCAACCAATCTGGAGCCTGCATTCACCTCATAAACTGCTATGCTTGGTGTTTTTTCGGTGATCATAGGAACACAGCAGACCTTATGTCACCATATGTACATACTTCGGGTGGGAACTTTAACCCTTCATTGAACAATCATGCTAAAAAAAAAGACAGGCTAGATAATACATGCACATATTTTTCATGACACTTTAATTTCTGCTACAGTTGCAAACATGCAGCCTTGATTATCATTTGAATAAAACTTATTAATGACATTTCATTGCACATGCACACACAAAATTACATTCATCAATTCACAGTTCACCTCATAATTTTCTCTGGCAATTGTATAAGCTTTAGACAGTGGTTGGTTGGATGCATGTAAGCATTTTCTGCATGATATAAAGTCAGATCCTAAATGCTAAAAATATCACCTTTCATACATGTACAAAATCTATATTATCAGTGAAATACATCCAGATTAGCAGATGATGTGCATAATTATATTACATTGTACACAACTAAAACATAATGTATCATATCACATCGTTATGCAATGTTAAACTTTTGTAAATACACCCTGCATCAGATTAGAATAAAATTGTTGTATGCAAATTTGTATCTTCTCTTGATTGTTACAATTATTGCTAAAAGCAATTGCACTAATTTAAGAACAAGTAAATCTCTCCTATACTTACACTTTTGATTCTATTGTAAAGAGAATGATCAGCAGCTTATAAATCAAACAATTGTAAAAAGACAAATTTACAGTAATACAATGTACATCACTAGATCCTTGATTAACTTGTTAAATCAAACAACTAAAAACATTTGTTGACTTGCTGTACAAGGAAATACTCAACCTACACCACTAGTACTCACCAAATAAATGTACAATATTTAAAATAACATGTTCTTTGCATTGACCTTGGACTGTTACTAACAAAATAAATCTGTACACAAACATGGTTCATCAGGCAAGCATCAAGACACCTTTGCAGCCACTGTCATAATGATCCTTATTAACTATAGCGAATGTTATTTTGTTGAGCTTACAACACTATGGTTTTCATAGATACATGACTACTTATGGTACAGGTTTTATTGGTCCAGTTTAATATACATGTATGGTACCAAATGTGTTCAACTGTTACTTCTTTTCAATGTTTCTTTTACTGGTAGGAAAAAACTGTATTCCAGTATTGGTGGTGTATACTTATACTCCAATAGAGGGGTCATCAAATAAAGTATGGCTTTATAATCGGATAATCTCTTCAATTAAAATCCATTCTTACTATTGTTTCTAATTACTAAAAGTGTATAATTTGGTTAAGTGAACTGATTTACTAGCACACTTTCATGTGTATTGTTGAATGGGGAAACTACATATAATTGAACATTTTTTGCCTAACGTCAATGAAATATCAAATTCATGAAACTTGAGTGAAGCAACTAAATAAGTCAACACGGCAAGTGTGGTTTCATGGATTGAGGTTACATGTTATTGTTCCTGAACATTTAAAATAAGGCATTTTCCTATGAAGGCTTAAGCCAACAATTCACATGAGTTGAAAAAATAGAAGATGTAAAATATACAAGTTTCTTTACATGTAGTACAAATTGACAAACATTTTACATCCATGGGTGGGGGATGAAGACACACAACACATTTCATGAAAATACAATTATTATTTTCACATATTTTGTTTGCACTCACTCTTCAAAGTTCAACCAACCAGGATGGTGTCTGTGACGTTATGTGCAAATATCCTTGTCATTAGTTGTAAAGTTCATCTGAGTTAGTTAAAATCAATCTGAAGCAAAGTTGAACTGTAAGTTCCAACATGTGACACAGTGGTCAGTGCTTATGATCTACTGTATGTTCACCAAAGTCCATGTTATATCTGTATCATATGACATCATAGAAGTGCTGTCTTGGGTAACGTTACATGTAAGTCCAATTTTTCTGCTGGAATTACATTTCAACTTTGCTACAGAAAAATCCTATTGAAAGATGTTGCTTTTTGCTACTATTGCCTATTGATTTTCAAAATGTCTGTTTAAAAACATCTAAAAAGATCCCTTCTTATCAAACCCTTCATCCTTACCCATTGGCCACTAATAAGTTGTCTCTAACAGTAGAAACTTTTCCACGAGGTGTAAGAGACTCTAAGAATGTTCCTATGAGAACTCCCTGTTTGGTAGACAGATTGGTGCGATCAGAGTCCACACATACACCACCATACATGCCCAACAGGAGGACAGCCGCACCCACACCGAGGCCCAGGAGAAACCAAAGTTTACAATGCTTGCTCTGCCCGGACTATAGAGTGGAGAGAAGGCAGAAAACAAGACGTTATGGTAACTACACGTCAGCCAATGCAAACACCAGAGCACAGATGTGATAAAAAAGGCACATGTTGTTTTGTGCTGATAGCACAACCATTAAACACCTTTCAACTGGTTATGTCATTGCACGGTGCTGAGGTGTTTGTACATGTAGTCAACACTAGATAGGATTTGGACAGCACCATTTAGTGGAGAGCTGGCCAAGGATGTGTACCAAAGGACTAGCCATGTGAAACTGTGAAGCATTTCAGTGCAGGGTATTTCAGACAATTTATGTAAACTATGTGCACCCCAGCGCACCCAAAATGGTGAATATTGAGTAGCGGTACAGCTTAGTTTTTGGCAATGCCACACAGTTTCACATGGCCAATCCTCCTGTACATACACATATTTTGACCAACTTTCTACCAAATTGTGTTGCCCAAATCCCACCCAGTATTGAGAACACATCAGCACCAAGCCATGATTTCTGGAAGAAAGGAGTTTCATGGGGGTGGCCAGAAGAGAAAATTATAATAGTGAAGAAACTACATGAGTAGCACCTTGGGCTTACACCAAGCATTTAAGATTAAAACTCAACACAGTGCAAGCCTCTACCACCATACTACAAGATATGGAAAAATATTGTGCATATCTGTAGCAGTATACAGTACACATTCAAGAAGAAAGATAGGCACCTGCAGTACAAGCAGCAACAATCTGGCATTTCCAGACCAAAATAATAAAAAAATAATAAAGATTTAAAGATATCACATTATGAAACTTAATGAAACACAAAACAGTCTATGGTTTTGTTAGGATAAACTGCAGAAAAGGGACAAAATACATGGCAAGATTCAGTTGTTGTTTCCTTGAAGAATTGTGTTATGAAAACAAGGAGCATACAAACAAATGGCTGCAAAGAAATAACACTGGTGAGAACACACAGATGCTACCACTGCCAGATGCCATCAGAAGTAAGCATGGTGACTGCAGATTGGAAGGGTCACCAAAGAGGGGTCATCGGCTACGCAACACCACCACCATTCTCCTTCCACTCAACCAAAATGCATTACGTCAACCACAAGAAACTAAGACATGCATCTTCAGTTTTCTTCCAATTTTCAATGCTCAGACAAAATGTACTGCACGGGAAATTTGTAAACAATATACACAGAGACCATTCATGCATCTGTGAACAAAATTCTGGTTTGGAATGACAACTGCACAAACCAATGTTGATAATAAAACCTTTTTTTGCTTTTTGTGAAATTCAATATTTCCTTTGTTAAAGTAAGGATTGGTAATTTCTGTAAGTTGTATTACTGGTACCAATGGCTGCCAAATCTTGCCAGAACTATGTTGACAGGACTAATTAGTGCCAACCAACCACTGTCACTTGCCCACTTCCTACACGAATGATTGACAACTGGTGGTTACTGGGGGAACTCTCGGTCGGGACAACACATGGGGGCTATGAGTGTCCACAGGTACAGTGCGAAGCAAATCCAAGCGGACGCCACCTTCACCCATACGGCCGCCCAGGTTGATCCAAACGCAAGCACGTCTCGCACTGACTTTGGGCTTGAGTGGGGGGAAAACACTTGACATAAACATTGTAACATTGATATGAAATGACGTATGACTTGTATGATCTAATGTGTGACATGATGATGACTACACATGTAACAACATAAAATCATACAGGTGACCGATGTATATTAAAGATGATTGATATGTCTCAATATATTATGGACTAATTATCGTGTGCATGTATATTCTGAAACACAAGACATTAAACATTGATGGATAGAAAACACACAATCTAAAATTGAAAGACATTGTGTTATGACTTACTTGTACCAGTTGGTGAGTGTCATCATGATGTAGAGTGAGGCCAGAAGGAACACAAAGTGGAAGAAGGAGTAGGAGTACACCACCCCGTCCTGCTCATTGTCTACCATCTTCTTACCATCCTCATCTGGAACAAACAGTTTCATTCATGACAAAAGGGCAGGGAATCATAAAGGTCTTGTATGACATACAACTGTACATGTACTTCTAATTATTGTTGAAGACTAAAATACTATTCTAGCCAACATCTATCTTTTGATGGAATTTTCCTGCTTCATGATGGACAAAATTTTGCCCCATCCATCATTTTTGATGGACAAAATCAGTGTGTAAAGAGATGACATTAACCATAGCTTCAACTATCAGCAAAAGTTGTGCCTGAAAATTAAGGAAATACAATTTCAGAGGGTCAAAACTAAAAATTTTCCTGGGAGAATATGCCCCAGACCCCCTAGGATTGTCTTGCCTTCAGCACTCAACATGATGTTATGTCAAACAAAATTCAGGCTGGCTAGAACACAGCTGAAGTATTTAAAAAATGACCAGAAAAAGATTAACAACAATTACCTCCCCCATCCTCCTCCACACCACCACAACATCCGCAGCACCCCGCATCCCCAGCCTCTGCTGCATCAGCACTGGAGGTGGACACGCCTAGTCTGTCAGACTGGGCCGAGGTACGCAGACTGGGGAGAGAGACAAGTTTATCACATGTAAGCACCTTCAGTTTGTTAAAGTAATGACTGTATAATGTTGGACTGATGCTTCATTGATGCTGGATTTTCAGCTCCGATGCCACCTCAGCCCAGATCCCCTGGGTGGCAAATTAAAATTTAAGCCATCCTAATGCCATTTGATCATTAATCATTTATCTTCAGGATTCTTAGACTGTAGCTAGAGAGCCAGTCACACCAGATTAACCTCCTGCCCTCAGGCCTCCAGTCTTAGCACACAAATGACTCATTGCATGTCCCATTGGTTGGTTCAGGGCTTTGACAGTTTAGAGAGTAGTAAGTTGAAGACAATACAATACACATCTACTAGGACAAAGGAAGATAAATGTATAGTGTAAAGTTTTCACATTCATCAGACAAATTCAGTACTACTGAGTATAACAACTTTGTGATAGAATTATACAAAAGTTCTGACAAAAAAGTGCTGAGTACAGTTGTACAGATCTTGAGAGTGTTACAGAAGAAGGGAGGTGAGATTTGAGCCACATCCACTCGCTAAGCACTGTGGGTACCTACGTCCCGACGCCTCCATGGCTTGTTGAAAGCAAGCTTGAATGGATGGACAGCAAGATGAACAAACAGCTAGTATGTAGTACATGTATAACTTTACATTAACTCCTAACAACACATTTATGTAGTAACTGTTTTACTTTTAGTCTTTGTATCTGCATCAAGCTTTCATGGCAGGATATCTACATGTATTAGCCATTTTATTGCAGTCTGCTCAGTAGTTATATGTGGTTGTATAGACTTGATTGGGCTATATTTATCTGTCATAACACAACTACTGTTTGAAGAAACATGCATTCTTTCTCTGGATACAGTCTTCACTTCCTTCCCTTACTCAACTTTGGTTGGGCTCTTTTATGTATTGTATGTGTATTTTGGGTATTAGTATGGGCCTTATTATTATGTTTGTGAATCACATATTCAGAACTTGATTTCTGTATGAGGGTGCTTTCAAAAATAAAACCCTCTGCATCTGGCATTAATGCTGAAAGTTAGAGTGAAACTGTTACAGAAGCTTAACTGTGTAATCTGTGTTGAATGTGTTAACTTCCTACCTGGCATAGACAACCATGACAAACATGATGAGAATGCCGATGACCCCGGACACGATCCTGTTGTCTGATCGCACCAGCTCTGAAGGGACACAGCCATCCTCCACCTGAGCTTCCACTGTGGCATTCAGGGTGGCGTTGAAAACACTCCCCACTGGAACCAATCATAATAATAATATTAAGGTTGTTACATAATATTAAGTTCTCTAGCTTTAGTTTCCACAATGCACGGAATACAACATGAATGTCATTTGTCCTAGCTGTTTCATCCGTCCATCCGTCCACCCATCCATCCATCCATCCATCCATCCATCCATCCATCCATCCTTCCATACATCCATCCTTCCATACATCCATCCTTCCATACATCAATCCATCATTCCATCCATCCAAATCCATCCATCCATCCATCCATTGACTCACTCACTTACTAACTCTCTCTTACTCATTCATTCATTTCTTTCAGGTCCAAACACACAGGAATTGCAATGGCTAAGACTTACTGTGATAGGACACAGGTTCACTGGACAGGGCTGAGTAGGTCAGGTACATGCAGTACGCTGAGATAATAGAGGCCTGCAGAAGTCCAGATCGGGGAGAAGCTGCAGAGTAAAAAAAAAAGATGGGTCAAAGACAAATAAATAGGACTATAAATGATGCTATAATCTTTAGCCCACTGACCAAGTATTTATACTTACCCAAATTCCCTTACAAAAGCAGAGAGCTCATTCAGTCATTGGCTAAATTTTCCAATAGCACCCTTTGTCTCTATCTCATACTGTATCTGTATATCTGTAAACTGTGCTACTTGCCTTTCTGTACGGGGGGCAGCACTGATATGAAGGAGATGAGGATACAGAGGATGAGGTTGAGAGCCAGGAAGAACTTGTTGAGCTCACAGCCGGCAGGCTTGGTGAAGAACAACACCAGCACGATGAACGCACCCAGCGTGACGGCATAGAAGAACAAGGTGCAGATCATCAGGGCTGCAACAACACACAACACATAGCAAGTCAGAGAGAGTCTTTGTTTTTAGTTATAAACATACAGAGTAACAAACTTACTATCCTCTGGATAATTCATTATGGACAATAGAACTACTTTTTTAAATTATTGGATAATAGCAAATGCTTAAAAACTATTTTTTTTAGTTTGGATATAGGCATATACAAATGTACAAATGATGGCAGACAAGATAATTGGCTTTAATGAAATATGGCTATGGCATTATTTCATAAATTGTTGATTTCAGACAGAAAGAAATTCTACAACACAATCAGTGCACCTGTCAATTCTAGCTGTAGCTCAATTTCCCCATGTGTCATTAGAAAGAAATACACAACGTGTACCATACGTATACTGCAAGTCTCTATTTCTGCTGTTTGGTTGCCAGGAGAAGTGGTTTACAGTCATTACCTACCTACATACCAGCAGCTGCAGCTTTCATCACCTGCCCTGTTCACCCTGGACAAGGGAAATACAAAAAGTTAAGGTCACTACGCTGTGGTAAACACAGGCTACACCAGTACAGGTGTACAAAAAAAAGGACTGTATTTCGAGCCCTGGTAGTAGTGAATCATGTGATGTACATCCTCACCAGTTGGAGTTCCAGGAGTGAGCGAAGTCCACCAGCAGGATGAGTTGGATCAGGATGAACAGGAACGCTCCAACCATCCCGATGTACATCCACACTGGGGGAAATAACATCATGACAATGTAGTGCCAAAGTGTTGATTCCAAATTAAAACATGAAATTCCACGGCATATGTTCTCCTATAAACAGATCATGCTTGAATGAGGGCCTGCATGGGGCTAAATATGGGGCTTAGTATATGATTATCTGTAACTTGTAAGGAGTGACTTTGGAATCATGTTGACCTAGAATATGCATTTTTGCATTGTTTGGTACTGGCAGATTGAAACGTAACAAAATCCCTCATTGAGAATGTGACGAAGTTAGGATTCCTGGAAATATATTGACTGTACCTTGCTGGAAGATCTGCTCATTAGGGATGTAGAAGGCTCCCACACAGATGCCAACAATAATCAGAAGCTTGAAGAACCAAAATCTGGGGACACATAGACAGAACACATGTACATTGTAGAAGTCTTTACAATCTTTCACTATTATTATATAATTCTACAAGGCAATTATTGTATAATCATTCTTGACCATCAGTGGATGGTTACAACTTTCATCTGGTCAGTAAATCATAGGATTTTCAAGTTTTCAAACTTTGAACCATGTTCAAGGCAACACTATTCTTATAAGAGTGTCAACTACGTGTAGTGGTCAGAAGTAGATCAGCTACCAAAATATTCAGGGCAGCTAGGATAAGAAGTTGAATTTCTAGTTCAATAACTTTTACAGCCTATATAGGTATGCATTAACAAGTTAATGTATATGAATAATTATTATGTAGACATCAGTCTAGTTCCTTCAAAACAGAATGAATGCAATGATAACTGTGGCTTCCAAAGCTTCTTAATCTATAGTTTGTGGTTAAAAACCTGCTGTTTTTGAGACCCCCCGTGTCACTGACGAAAGGGAGCAATAATATTATTGATACCTGAAACATCTGACCATTTCCAACATCATATCCAGTTGACTGAGTAACTGTTTTTTTGGTGTGTACAAAGATCTAGTATGGACAATTTTTTATATGATAATTTTGAGTTATTCAGTGTGTGTGTTTTTTTAATGATGGTATAAGGCACAAACTCAGCACACATCTTACCCATTGTGAATGCCTGCTCGACAGTCCTGGCTAGTTTTCACGTTGATCATGAGGATCATGAGTAGAAAGAAGAACGCTGCCATGGAGAAACAGACCCGGTACACGGCCATGAAACCGATCAGCTGGCTGATGTTACAGTTGGGGCCCAGGTTGAACCAGTCACAAAGTTCACTGAACCCTGGGATCTAGATTCAGCAAAGTGAAACACATTAGGAAAGATAAAAAAAAAACATCACAACAATACTAGTCAATAGTACATGTAACTAATTATCATGCAAAGTCATGTATAACAACATCCATGCATCCATATACAACTCAAACCAAACTACATGTAGAGATATTTGCTGAATATTTTTGCTCAAACTTTTTGCTCAATACATGTATT